TCATGCATTGTTTCGGTAGTGGGCAAGTGTTTTTGTTGTCGCAGTTACAGTTGTCAGTTTCCGTATTCTGTGACTGACTGTTCCTAATTATATGTGCGTTGTGTTTGGTGATTATAGACTTAACGTTGTTCATGCAACTGTAGCTTACTTTTAAAGTGTTTCTGTTGAAAATCTTGTGTAGTTTGTGTTGTAGTGGGAAGTGTTTGTCAATTAAACTTAAAAATTCCCGTCCTATGTTCGTGTTAACACTCTTACTAAATGGTGGGTTGAACCAAATTATGTTGCGTTGCCTATTCCTACGTGTCCGTTGCGGTGCATTCTATATATATATATATATATATATATATATATATATATATATATATATATATATATATATATATATATATATATATATATATATCCAATGACGATCCATTGTACATCCACAGACACTCAAACCATCCACCAAGCATTACAAGACAATTACCTACAGCTATCAACAAACGCATTGCACTTCTCTCATCGGACGAACAAACATTTAAGGAATCCACACCTATTTACCAGAACGCTCTTACACATAGTAACTTTGATCATGAATTTACGCACACTGAGAATGCACCGCAACGGACACGTAGGAATAGGCAACGCAACATAATTTGGTTCAACCCACCATTTAGTAAGAGTGTTAACACGAACATAGGACGGGAATTCTTAAGTTTAATTGACAAACACTCCCCGCTACAGCACAAACTACACAAGATTTTTAACAGAAACACTTTAAAAGTAAGCTACAGTTGCATGAACAACGTTAAGTCTATAATCACCAAACACAACACACATATAATTAGGAACAGTCAATCACAGAATACGGAAACTGACAACTGTAACTGCGACAACAAAAACACTTGCCCACTACCGAAACAATGCATGACCAACAACATTATTTACAAAGCCACAGTCACAACGAACAATACGAACGACACTAAACACTACATTGGTATGACAGCGACTACATTTAAGGAACGTTACGCTAACCACACTTCATCTTTTCGTCATAAAAAGACTCAAACAAAACGGAACTTTCGAAACATATTTGGAAATTAAAAGAAAACAATCAGGATTATTCCATCAAATGGTCAATTTTAAAACACGCTATTTCGTACACAGGGGGATCAAAACGCTGCAATTTATGTTTGGAAGAAAAATTTTGCATTTTGAAAGACATAAACAAAGACAATTTACTCAACAAAAGAAGCGAAATTTTCGGCAAATGTCGTCACAAAAACCGGTTTCGAGTAAACAAGGTCGTTAACAAAACCTAATGACCCAAGCATGCATTGTTTCACCTAAGCATTGTTTCGCCTACACGCATTCCGCACATTCTTTCGATAGCATAAAAGCAACCTACAATTTCGAAAGTATTCACCACCTGATGATTCCTATACGGATGAAACAGACTGTTGTGGTTTTTTGAGGTAAAACGAAAAACTATATTACGCTCTATCTATATGGTATTGAGCACTGTTTGTGTTTTGTAAACCAAAATCTTAAGCTATATATATATATATATATATATATATATATATATATATATATAGAACGAATTAATAATGGTTAATTTATGATACTGATGTAGTTTACAGGAACGCAAACCTGCTAATATTCAACGTTTAAAGTTGCTATTAAAATAAGGGGAGGGTCTACCCAAACAGTGACGGAAAATTGAATTTTTTTTTTGGGTTAAAACATAAGTTTAGATCTTCATTTAACCACTGCCAAAAATTGGGGGGTATTTCTCACGGATTTTGTGTTTTTTTCAACATTTTATGACTGTGTATTTAAAATTTGCATGCGTTACTATGGCAACGGACATGGTATTTTTTAAAATTTTCATTGTTTTTTGGTGTAATATGTCATGTTTGCTAAAAATTGAAGAGAACAGTCAAGAATGGTCTGCAAACTCTCTGTTCAGCGGCTGTTACTTCAAAACAATGCATTGTCTAGCGCATTGCGGTTTCTTGAAAAGCGAGCTCACCCAACAGCAAGTTGAAATATTTTCTGGTGATGTTATAAAAGCGTTCTAGTTAGTCAAATGATTAGTAAAAGAAAGAGAAGTGTCTATCGTAAAAGAGTTGGCTGTGTTGGTCTGTAAAAGCAAGCGTCTGAGGACAATCAATCGTCCTTGGGTGATCAAGATGTTGATAGTGATTCTGATTCACAGAGGTCTGACTTGGGTGACACGCTTGCCGATAAAGGTGCAACTACACCTCAATTAGAAGGAACTCCAACACTCATTAATGCATTAAGATGGAAATTGAGTCAGCATAGCTGCCTTGGTACCCCCAAAAGATGCTATAGAAGAAAGAATTGCCGACCAAACCTCTGCATACAGTGATACACTGATTGTTAAGGAAAGTGGACAACTATTAATATATATATTGTTTACATTCATATTAAAATAATTAGTGTTTTGGACGAGCAAAAGTACTAGCTGGGACGAGAGCGTGTTCGTGGTTCGAAAACTTATCGTAAAAGGTTTATTTATCGAAGAACAAAAGTGTTATTTTCTCGTTTATTTTATAGTTTCTTATTAAATTGTTTATGAGTTTATTATTATACCGAGCGGAGCTATCGTCTACTAAACATTTGGCGATCCTGCCAGGACGAATAAAAGAATTTGGCGTCTAATTTACGTGTATACTTCGTTGGAATTTGCGTGCGAATATTTCGTCGTGACAGTTTTGGTGTTATTATTGCGGGTTATCGTCTATCGCTTGAACGTTCGTGTCTTTGTTGGCATTATCGACTATTTGTGGCAGCAGCTAAGTAAAAGAAACTGGAATACTATAAACTTTGAATATTTGTCGTAAAAATGTGAATTTTCAGGCCTTTGTATTAAAATATGTTTGGGATCGTATTGCATAATATATGCTAATTTATGCAATATATTCAGGTTTGATGCTTGAGGCATGATTTATGCCAAATTTTCTACATAGTGACATTGGTAAACAGGAATTTTCGAAAGACATACATTAGAGGAGTAACATTCTACCTATACCGTTGAAAATAAATAATCTGGTCGTTTGTTATAACAATAACTTTGCTAATATTTTAAATTGTGTGACTATTAACAATGTCAGGGGATGAGTCAGAACCGATTCAAAGCAGTGTGGAGCAATCCACTGTTGATGAGGGTATGAAAAGCCTTCATATTTCCCTGGAATTAGGTCGTCGCAAACGTGCAAGTAAACGGGATACAACAAGAGTAAGACATCAACTTGAAAAATCATTTAGTGTGTCAAAAGCAACGTTAAACAAAGAAGAGATTGAGCATAGGGTAGAGGATTTGTGGTCGTCACTAGAAGAGACACAGAATATTATGGATGAATTGTCTGTTTATTACTTGGGGGAAAAGGACGGTGAAAATCAAAAGGCGTTAATGAAGGAATCAAACGAACTAGAACTGGAATGTCAACAAGCGATCGAAAAGGCACAGGCTGTTCTGATCTCAGGATGTTTTGAAAGCAACGCTACAGTCAGTCAAGACAATGATAATGACGAGGTAACTAATGGTACCAGTTCTGCTGGGAGTAATTTGATTAACGAAGGACAGACACAACCCGCTGTGACCAGTATCACTGAGCAACAAGCGATGCAAGGCGCAATAGGAACTAGTATGATACAGCAAACAGTGGAGCAGAATCAATCGAGTTCATCAAGTCCAACACATACACCATCGTACACGGGAGGTTCAGTTCTAAACCGCCATTTAAAACCACTAAGAGTACCTGATTACAATGGAAATAAAGCAAAATTTGAAGAATTTTGGAGCCTATTTGAAAGTTTAGTTGACAAATCGAACGAGCCGGTGCATCTAAAGATGGCAAGATTGCGACAGAGTTTGTCTGGTCGAGCTTTGGAAGCGATTCGTGGTTTAGGAGTATCAGCACCCGAGTATGATGAAGCGAAAGAAATAATTCAGTCGAAATTTGGTGGGCAGCGACGTCAATTGAGAGGTTACATGGATGAATTAGAGAATATGCCGACTATGCGTAACAATGATGTTAATGCCTTTGAAAAGTTTGCTGACCTAGTTAGGGTAACAGTTGCGAAATTGAGAGCTGAGAATCGAGAATCAGAATTAGGAGAAGGAACTTTGCATCGACAGCTTGTGAAGAAATTATCGGATCGACAGTTGGAAAGTTATAGTCGATGGTTAAGCACTCACAGCAAGGAACAGTCTGTTATATGTTTGTGTGACTGGCTGAAGGAAGAGGTGACTATTAAAGTGGAAGCTGCAGAAATGGCTTATGGTCTGGAGCAGAAATATGCTGAGTCAAAGGGATACCAGAACAAGGGTGATAAGCCAAGATTTCGGTCATACCGTACTGGAAAGCAGGGAAGCTATGAGTCATACCAACCAAATATGTCGGGAAACGCAGTGGATGCAAAGCCGCCTTGTGCATTTTGTGGTCGTACTGGGCATGGTATCTGGAGTTGCCACCAGTTTCAACAAAGACCAGTATTAGATCGCTGGAAAACTGCTAAAGAGAAACAGTTATGTTTTCGGTGGCTTGCCACTGACCACCATGGTAAAGATTGTCGAAGGTCACGCCAGTGCAACATAGGTGGGTGTCAACTTACACATCATCGATTGCTTCATGACCCAGAACACAAAAGCAACAAACCAGACCTTCCAGAGGAGAAGGTCGAGTTCAAATCCCCACGGGAGGGGGTAATGGATGAAGCGAGAGTGGTTACCACGACAACTGGTGAATCTAACCATAAAGTACAGATGCATTCTCTGAGAACAATCCCTGTATGGATAAAAGCAAATGGAAAGAGAATTAAGGTAAACGCAGTACTTGATGATGCTTCGAACGAAACCTTCCTAAACGAAGAAGTCGCCGGATTTCTTGGGTTAAGCGGTAAATGGCAAGATTGGTCTAGGACCTGTATATGAGTTTGTATGCATTTCATTTAGGACAGATAATCTCAACTGTTTTAGGGCAAGTTGACCATGACGGTCAACATGGTAACGCTGCCCGAACCCCAATCCGGGACGAAACGTCCGAAACTGACCACACCCAAAAACGACGCTTTCGCCATACTGCTATCTACCAAACCATAAAAGCTTTGGCTATTCTGAGGTGCTTATATGGTTCAGAGATAGTACTTTTGGGGTGGTCATTGGTAAGTGTGAAATGCCTAGCACTAATATTTCACAAGAAAATGGCCATGCAATAATCATAGTTAAACGTCAATTTGTGGCTTGCAACTTCAGATAAACAGCAGTGGACTTACATTACCTTTTTCCCCAAATCTTTTTGATAGAAACATAATTGGTACTTATTTAAATATATTATCACTGGTTTGGTGTAAATAGTTAATATTTTCTGACCGAAATAATAATTTGAAATGTGCCTACCTCCTGCAAATGGACGTATTTGGCCAAGTTCTCCACTTTACTCCGCTGTTTATCGGCGATCTCGTCGACATCCTACAAAAATGTAAATCATCTCAGACATAATGGTATCAAGAACATTTTAAATAAGTTTCAACTTGGTTTCAAGTAGATCATACCTGTTTAACCATCGACAAGGTAAATCCACAACTTTGTCCAAATTCGGCGCCATTTTGTCATCCCATGTCGCTTGTTAACAATTCAGTCTTGTTACTCTTCCATCCAAGCCATTTCCATTCCACTAATAATAAATTTAACCCTTTATAACAGGAGGAAACTAAAAATCTAAACAAAACATAAGAAATTCGCCATTTTATCACCCTGTAAAATTTCGCTCACGAGTCTTTCAAAACATTCCGTACAAATATCGCGTGACAAAGTAACAGGGAAGTGACAGGAGGGGGTGAATTATTTCACGAAGATAGAAGAAGGCTGCGTGAGATAGACTAAAAGCTAAATACAATCATACAAATGTTTGTTTTATTTCTTGTAGTGACAAATATATACATTTATTATTTATTAATATGAAAAAGTCATACAAATTAAATGTTGATTGTTGGTTTTACCAACTGTATGGGCTTTCATTTTTCAAGTCTCTACCCCCCTGCCAAGTCTCTGTTGCTAAACCACGCGAGATTTGTACGGAATGTTTTGAAAGACTCGTGAGCGAAATGTTACAGGGTGATAAAATGGCGAATTTCTTATGTTTTGTTTAGATTTTTTAGTTTCCTCCTGTTATAAATTGTTAAATTTATTATTAGTGGAATGGAAATGGCTTGGATGGAAGAGTAACAAGGCTGAATTGTTAACAAGCGACATGGGATGACAAAATGGCGCCGAATTTGGACAAAGTTGTGGATTTACCTTGTCGAAGGTTAAACAGGTATGATCTACTTGAAACCAAGTTGAAACTTGTTTAAAATGTTCTTGATACCATTATGTCTGAGATGATTTACATTTTTTGTAGGATATCAACGAGATCGACGATAAACAGGGGAGTAAAGTGGAGAACTTGGCCAAATACGTCCATTTGCAGGAGGTAGGCACATTTCAAATTATTATTTCGGTCAGAAAATATTAACTATTTTACACCAAACCAGTGATAATATATTTAAATAAGTACCATTTATGTTTCTATCAAAAAGATTTAGGGAAAAAGGTAATGTAAGTCCACTGCTGTTTATCTGAATTTGCAAGCCACAAATTGACGTTTAACTATGATTATTGCATGGCCATTTTCATGTGAAATATTAGTGCTAGGCATTTCACACTTACCAATGACCACCCCAATAGTACCATCTCTGAACCATGTAAGCACCTCAGAATAGCCAAAGCTTTTATGGTTTGGTAGATAGCAGTATGGCGAAAGCGTCGTTTTTGGGTGTGGTCAGTTTCGGACGTTTCGTCCCGGATTGGGGTTCGGGCAGCGTTACCATGTTGACCGTCATGGTCAACTTGCCCTAAAACAGTTGAGATTATCTGTCCTAAATGAAATGCATACAAACTCATATACAGGTCCTAGACTATAGACAAATATGCCAAAACAAGTGAGGTAGGTAGCCGTAAATCACAGGAAAAGTGTAATACTGAGAACCACGAGACAGACATGGCAAGTCACAACCTCGTACCCAGGGCATTTTGCTTCCCCCTCAGCGAAAATGGCCCTGGCATCGGCCGGTGATTTCTGCCATCTGATTGGCTATTTGCGGAAAGTTAATTATGCAGCCAGATTATGATTATTCGTTTTTCCTTTTCGTGAATTATCGTAGTTCAACATTCAAAAAGTCTCCTTTCAAACGCATTTTGTTCCCATACGAGCGTGTAATACCAAATATTTGTAACCACAAAAGGCTGTAGAAGTGCTGTCCATAAAGAACTATTATTCATTGGAAATTACATGAGGAAATTACAAAAGAACTGAATGTTTAATCAATGTTTGTAAATCGGATAAAGATTTGTCCTAGACAGTGTTTATTGTTAAAATTTTATATGTTTATTTTTAACTAGTACTTAAAAATACGTAGTTGTAAACTTTTTTGCCTTTAACTTTTAAGATATTGGTGCAAAAAAAAACGCCACAAAAGATTTACCGAAGAGAAGATACGAATCACTCTGAACATTGCAGACTTTGTGAAACCAAGACGGAAACTCGTCGTCTTGTTAGAATTTTCTCAGCGGCTGGAAGTAAAAAAGATTGGCAAACGAAAATATCTACAACTTATGGTGTTATTATAGCTGAGGAAGACTACCTCCCAAAAGATATATGTCGTAAGTGAGGAATTTTTGTAGAGAAAATGTTTGAATTCATTCAAACATGTAAGTCATCTCAAGTGACACTAACACAACACCTATGGTATGAAACGAGGAAATGTTACATCACCACCATATAAACAGCCTGCAAAACGTACATGTATTTTGTCAGAATCTGATGTTTGTAAATTCACAAAAGAAGCTTGGATTTTGTCCAGTCAAACCAGCAAGTGATGAGTCATCATCGTCTGCACCATCAGTCACTAGTCAATGTAGAACTCAAATTAATATAAATGTTGAGAATGCATCAGTACCATCGCAAGTGCAATATGTCTCTGTACAGATCATTGTACCAAGGTGCCCATTGAAATCGAACACACCATCAGAAGTACCAGTTGCTAGGTTAACATCTGTATATGTATCCAGTTACCATGCATATGTCACAACACCATTGACATCTAGTCAACAAGCAAAACTTGAACGAGCAACAAGAAAAAAGACACCGTCTGCGGTGGCACACATCATAACAAAAGAATGTCCCTCTGTTGAAATGGCAATAAAAAGAAATATTTTGAATGGATGTAATACTTCTTGTGAAAAAGTCTGCAGAAGACAAACTAGATCTTCTGTGTTATATTCAAGTGGTGAACAGTTTGAAGCCATGGATGATTTCAATATCAATAAACTATGGCTGGAAATGAAAATAACTCAACCTTTTCTTATCGACTTGATGAATGCCACAACAGGAAATCCAGTTGACATTGACAACACAACTGAAGAAGTGAAGGTTAAATATTGCTTCATTTACTCCATTCTTATGAATATGCGACGGCATGAACTGAGTCTTTTTCAACGGATAAACACAGTTCTTTTAATTGAAGGTGGTTGTGGAAAACAGGTAATCACTTATAACTAGAATCAGATTCATATGAATGAAATAGATATTAAGTATATTTATCTCACATATTGACAATGCTTACACATATATGCAGGACCACTGAGAGAATTAGCGGGGCCCGGCGCAAGTCTTCTCTGGGGGCCCCATGGCATCATTCAGCCTAGTCCCAGTCGTTCTGAAGCAAGCGCGAGAAAAAACGTGGATGTAGTACGAGACTGGGACCTAGGTGTGACGTCACCGCTAAAGGTGCTTCAGAATGCCTAGCAGATTTCAGTATTTTTAATATGGCGGAAAATTTATATATACAAATAACCTTGTATAAATATGACAATGTTCGTTGATCATGTTCGATGTCTACATAACCAAATTCAAACTGTATTAAAAATGTGCTCAATTGAAACATATATACAAATTTACGATACTGAGTCTGAGCAATGGTCGTATAATCGTTGATGATATTTATCTACTTGCAAGTTGTGATCAACACTAGACCATGATACTGGTATACACAACTACGCTTTCTAGTTGACAGTTTTAAGTAGCTGAGGAGATTGGAAATATTTCCCGACATGACTGTGTTGTCAAAACATTTTTAGTCGGAGACTCTGCATAATTTTCAAGCTTCTAGATATCATTTAAAGCCTATTTCATTGTTCCGACAGCATTAGAGCAGAACTAATGACTTAATTATAAACGCAAAGGAAATTTCCATAACATTTTCCATTTACAAATGCGGTATACTTCGTAACCAGGCCAGGGACCACTTTTTTGAAATCAGGGACCATTTTACCGAAATCTGCTAGGCTGTCTCGCTGAAGTGTTCCACACAGCACACCCAGGCATAAAATTTTTAAGACTCACTTAAATATATCAAAGCAGCGAATAGAGAGAGCCTGGGACTAGGCTGGGCATCATTATCTTGCTAGACCCAACTATAGACATTAGCTAGACTGCTTGTGGACCAGACTGGAAAGTTTGCAAATTGCGCGACCGAGATCAACATTTTCTGGATTTTTGCGCGCCCAGTTTTCGAATCTGCGCGTTTGGTATCTGAATTAGCGGGGTGTAGGTAAAACATGCCCTAGGCCATGGCCCAGGCCATGGCCCAGTGTATGGCCCTACCCTTGGCCCACCTGTTTTTTGTTTAATTTTGATGTGTAAATTATGTCAAAATTATTTTAACGTGTTGAGTTCATATGCGTTTCATATATATTATAAAATATTGATTTGAGCTCATTTCTAAAATACGAAATAAGTTTTGACCAGTCACCAGAGCGTTTTACGATTACTACATAATATGGACTATTACATAAAGTACGAACAACCAAACAACACATGATCACGTGAGAGAATTAATGTCGGCCGCATGGCGCACAACTGCATCGTTTCATGGGGTGAGTTTTTATCGTTTCTTGTAGCTTTTTGCTATCAATACGAGCAGATGCTTGTCTTGCAATTTAATGTTGAGAACTCTCTAACGTTTATAAACGTTTAAATTTTAGAAAATCGTGTTTAAAATAAAAAAAATGAAGCGATCGAGGCGAGTTTGAAGAATTACATTTGGACGCTGTTTATATATTGAAATATTTACATATTTACACTTTACAGACTAGATAATTCCGAATATTCGGAATCCGCATAATTTTGCAACTTTGGGAACTTTTTGACTTGTTTTCAAGTCTGTAAATCCTGTGTTATTTGTATTTAAAAGGTTTCGATCATCAATAACATAATTATCTAGTTCGTAAAGTGTGAATATTTCAACATAAATAAACAGCGTCCAAATGTAATTCTTCAAACTCACCTCGATCGCTTCATCTTAAACACGATTTTCTAAAATTCAAACGTTTATAAATTGCAAGACAAGCACCTGCAAATTCGTTAAATTGCAAGACAAGCACCTGCTCGTATTGATAGCAAAAAGCTAAAAGAAACGATAAAAACTCACCCCGTGAAATGATGCAGTTGTGCGCCATGCATGCGGCCGACATTGATTCTTTCACGTGATCATGTGTTGTTTGGTTGTTCGTACTTTATGTAATAGTCCATATTATGTACTAATCGTAAAACGCACAGGTGACTGGTAAAAACTGATTTCGTATTTTAGAAATGAGCTCAAATCAATATTATATAATATATATAATGAAACGTATATGAACTCAACACGTTAAAATAATTTTGACATAATTTACACATCAAAATTAAACAAAAAACAGGTGGGCCAAGGGTAGGGCCATACACTGGGCCATGGCCTAGGGCCATGTTTTACCTACACCCTATCTTTTTCTTATTTGTAGCATATGTACAAGAAGGTCACCTGTTTGTTTGTTTCGTAACAGGAGAGTCCAGAAAAATGTCTAGCGTAAAGTGTAAACATATACATGTTCCAATTTATGTACTTTTATTGTATTTACCTAGCTTTAATTCTATTAGTTTACATATGCAGAGAAAGCATTAAACAAAAATGAGAAATTATAAGACTTCAAAGACCTTCAAAAGCTTACAGACTGCAGACATATTAAATATACATTCTGTAACAACACGCGAATTGCTATAAATAGCAACGTTACAGTCTAGTATAATGATATGATGATTTGTTGTGCTTTTGTTCTAAGTAGGCCTATCACTAAAATATATTGAAAATCCTTCTAAACGATTCTTTATAAAGTATACAAAGCATATACATTGATATCGAAACACAAAATTCAAAGTTTTGAATGACTCTGGTATAGACTGAGACGTATGGGCCTAATGATTTAATTGTGTTACATTCCACTGAAAATCACCAGAATGAGCTTTTTTAAAAGTCTCGCGTGAGGCTCCAAGGCAATAACCCAAGCTAGTTTTTATATATAACGTGTACTCATGCTATACCATTCCGTGGATGAAATATAAACAAATTCACGATTATCGCACATAGTAAATTTCCCCTTCAAATCCAGTGACAAAATGAAATTCTCAAATTTGACTAAAAATAGCCAATTTCAACAACGTCTGTCAGGCCAGTTAAAGCCTCCTGGGCCATTCTATATTGATAAAATTGTTCTTTAATACTTGAATTATAGTCATTATACCATCAAAACTATCTACGATCAGTTTTGAATCTGTCGCGAAGTGATGAAATTGATCATGGCAACGGCTTTGTCTGCGGCTAATTATAGCCTTCCGGAGACAAATTCTTGATTTCTGATATTTGTACGTTTATCGACCAAATATTGAATATCTAACCCAAAC